CCTTTGTGTATCTCAAAAGCTGAGCATTTTTTATAACTGGTGCAAGATACATATTACATTGATACATAACATTGATACTTAGCACTGCGCAGGTGTGACTGATCAAGACATCTAGCAATAAAGACCTGGGATCAAAGTCAGCAAGATTTTGGTTTCCAAAACTACTTCTGTTGATAGCAGAAATTAATTACAAGCAACACAACACTAATACTTTTTTTTTTAAGAAAGGGAAGAAGACAACTCGGTTTAGAACATACTGGTTCAGAGACTTTTAAGAAACAAGAAGTGTACCTGCCAAGAGGTGTGACCTAGTTCAGCTTTACCAAGCCCATGATCCAAACGGCTCAAAACTGCTTGTTTGTCTCTAAAGACAATTCAGCATACCAAGCAAGACAGCATTTTCTTTAATTATCTGTCCTGTCATAGGGCCTTAATTCCACCTAAAATATTCAAAAGTTTTAGACAAATAGTAACTAGCACACTTCACACCTAGTCTACCAGGGTGCCAGTGAATGATACTAAAGTGGTTTGAGTACTTCCAACTGCGTGTAGTGCACTGGGTAGTCACACAGAAAAGAGTAAGAGCAGGGACTTAAAAAAGAAGCATAAGACAAAAAAAAACATTCTTAAACATTCTTAAATTCTTAAGACATTCTTAAAACATCATATGAGTAAAACGACCTTGTTACCAAAATAGAACCCAAGGAATCTCAAAGAAAATGAGAATTTTTTGCCGTTCAGCCTAAACTCAGTTCTTGGATTCCCTTTAAGCAAATTCATGACAAACAGAAGCTTTTTTGATAAAGAGCTTAAGCAAAGGAAAAATTCAATCCTTTATGAAAAGACTACAAAACCCAAAACTCCTTTTTGTCACATTTCTGTGACTTACAACTCTTGTAACTGTTCATAACTAAGTTCATAACTATAACTGTACATCAGAAAACGTCTAATAGCTTTTCCCTTCATAAAAACTTCAGGCTAGCATCTTATTAGGCTGCAAATTTCTAGTTGCATCCTTTCTCTGATTGATAACCATGATCTTCTAGCACAGAGTTATAGCTATGGATTTTCATTTTTCCTAGTCTATGCCCCAAACAGACAGCAGAGATGACATATACTAGTATAGTGTCAGTGATATTGATGAAACAACAATCAAATGATGTTCAAAAATTCATAAGAATTCCAGATGTTTGTTTTGTAGGAGAAACGTATTAAATTTTCTTCTATAAAACTTTATTAATTGGATAGAGCATGAATTCTGTCATAACTGTAACAGAAATTAGTTCATTCATTAGTATGATCAACTTGCTAACAGCCAGGTTCCTTAGGAAAGTTAACAGACTAGAGTAGATGAACCACTTGAGTTCCTATCTACCCATTATATTAATAATGGAATAATGCGCTTCTTGAACCACCCATGCTGTGAAAATTTAGTGTCTTACCCATAGCTTACATTTAAGGGTATTATATTGCAATACATTTAAATTATTAATGATTTCTATTGCAATATGAAAATGCACCTGTTAGAGTTCCTTAGATAAAACAAAATCAATTGTCTGTGTAAGACATGAAGACAGGCCATGTTTTCCAACATAATTTTTACCGGCATTATGAGTTAACAATCCTATAACTTGATGTAACCACTTTATTAAATGTTTGGATGTTAAGAAAAGTGTAAGAAAGATACATATTCAATTGGTATGACTTATAAACAGCTATTCAGGGTTGAGGGATTTGGTAATGGAACGGCCTGTTTGGTACTTTTCATGAGAGAAAGAAGAAAACATTTTCCTGAAAAGACACATCTATCTGCCATTTGCCTTGTTTCTGCCAAGCTATGGCAACAGCGGCTCTGGAAGGTTCTGATTGTGAGAATACTTAGATAGTGTAAGCATTAAATTTGTATGCTTGCTGTATAAAAGCAACAACATTGCTCACAAAATCCTTCATAACTTTTATGTGACAGTTTAAGAGGATGAACCTAATTAAAGAACAGTTAATTAACTGTTTTATCTTCTTCTCATAGGACAGGACTAGGTGTTTCCAAATGAAATATGGAGAGCTGCCTAAACTCTGTCAAAAGCCAATTTACAAACACTGCACAGGAATTTATTTGAAATACTCCCTCCCTAGCACAATGAATATTAGGAGGATGTTTGGGTTTGGTTGTTTGTTTTTTTTTTAAATTTTTTAATTATTTTTTGGTTTAAGACCTGAGTCACAGTATATTACAAAAAAAAAAAAAAAAAAGAAGGAACAGAATGGGAAGAGCCTAATTAAATCCATCAATCTAAAGGACTAGTTTTGCAAATATCCATATGTTTAAACTTTACACACTTACTTTGTCTCAGACTTTTGCCAGCTACACACATGCCCCAGACAATACATATGCTATGTCCAAGTATAATCTCTGCACAATTATAGTATTACTGATTCATTTCCTTCTCACATATTTTTCCTCAGTCATGAGTAATCTTGGCTAACTAAGCTGCTGGAAAAATGTATTTAGGGCTATGAAGCACCTAAAAAGCACAAGAGGGGTAGGATAAAATAAAAATAATTGATCAAAAGTACTAACATTTACTTTTGGCTTAGTAAAACTGTCTGAGAAATTAGTCCCTTTAGTGTTTCCTGTATTATTGCAATACAGTACCTTGAAAGTGATAATATTGGCACAAGCCATTGTGTTCTACCACAGTGCAATTAGGAGGCCCGTTTAAATAGCTTTATCATACACATACATAGGCTGATTTATTTTCTAATCAAATGTTCCAGGAAATCATTAACCATGACATTAAACAGTGTTGTGCTAATTACACTCTCCACAAAGAATTCCAATATAAATTTACAAAACATCTATGGAAATATGCAAAGTACAAACAGTTTAATATATGCAAATAATTCTGGCATCTACTCTATGTAGCCCCACACCTCTGTAGTGTTAAATCCCTGTTCTGTCAAGGTCCAGCCTGGGCCTAGATTCTGCTCCATGAGCTCCATGTAGTGACAGTCATGAGATTTTGTTTGTCACTGCCCATGTAAGTCATGCTGAAGGATTGAGATCTTTATTCTTTTGATGTCATTGCATGGGAATGAAAGCTCCTCAAACTGCATGGAAAAAGCGACTGCAGTTGTTGGAGGCAGCATTTTATTTTTACTGCATTCAAGACAGCACAAAATGATAAAAACAATATGGAAAACAGAGCACCTTTCTTAATGACAGAAGAAAAAGGAAACTTGTTCTGTTTTAGAAGATACTCTAGAGATACAAATGTTGAATGTTAGCCTTCTTTTTCTTAAAAATACCTAACATTGAGATTTGGAAATAGATTTTCCCCTGTATAACCCTCCAGTTTGCATTGTTATTCTAACTAGTGCTAATTTAAGATACAGATAAAAGCAAGGTATTGACTGTAGTAATGAGAATTCAGTTACTTTCTTAAGCATATACAAATTGCTAGTCTATAGTGCAATGAAATCTCTGGCTATCTGTGTATTTCCCCAGAGTCTTGGAGGCCTTTCTGTGACAGAAAACAAGACTCCATTATACAAATACAGGATGTAGGTATGCTTGCTTTTGCAGCCTTGCTTGCTCCTCCGTAAAGACTTTGTTGATCACAAACCAAAATCCTGCCCTGAAGAGGTGGATGGAAATACTGCCGCTGTTTTGAATAGGGCCTATGTCTCTCCTGTGTTATTCTCCTGTCTTAGCCCAGAACCGGCAAACCTATGGTAGAAAAAAATTGAATATATATATATATATATAAAATACATTACAAAATGTGTATTTACAGTGTTCTAAAAATGTAAAAAAAAATATAGAAATAGATACACCAGTTTTCACCTGTCAAACAGTGGCTCTACGTATGAAATGAGAATTATTAACAAAACCAGGTGTTGAAAGTCACCATCCTAGGCCAAACAGCTAAGGTACCCATCCTATCCTTTGGGTGAGTGTGATCAGATCCTTTCGAAGCAAAGGCAGGGCCTGGGGGACAGCGAAATAAAACACTCCTGAGGGGGTCAAGATTTGTCTTGACCCCTTAGATGGAGAAGGCCGTACCTCAAAACACGGAGATTTACCCCATTTCTGTCGGTATTCTGACAAGAGAGGATAAGGCAGGCGGGAGGACCACTCACTCCTTCTGCCTGAGGTGAACGACATCCCCCCGTCCAAGGGGCGTTACTACGGATGGCCGCTGTTAGAGAAGCATAAAACTTCCTGCGCCCAAATCCAGAAGGCAACCCGTATGTGCCTACAGACCCGCACACTGACTGCCCCATTCCCGGGCGGACCACTGCCACCCCTGCGCTCACAGTCATTCCGAACTAAAACTAACTCTGTAACTCCATCGAGCAGCCCTGTCTTATTCCGTGGACTCTGCCGCGCTGCACCCAGAGACATACAGTGCGGGCAGGGGCAGGAGAACCGGTATGTTACATAACCAGGTGCGGTAACTTGTACTGCACGCCGGCGCTTGAAGCAGTTTGAGAGCAGCTGATTCACCGGTGATTGGCAGAATGCCAGCCAACCGGAAAACGGCATTTCCATCCTGCCGTCGCGGATTGGCTATCGCGGGGAGGCCGCGGGCGGGACCGGCAGTGGCGGGACTATTCGGACGGCGCTACATTCCTAGGTTCTGACAGGCGGTGGCGTGCGGCCGTTGGGGTTGCGTGTCCTTACTTCCGTGCTGTGCTCCGGTGTGGCGGTTCTTGGGCAGGGAGCAGTCACTGCTTCCGCTGCTGGGATTAGTGATTCCTCGCTAAATCCTTCGTTGCATTAAGGTGGTGGTGGTGGTGGTGGCGGCGGCGGCGGCGGCGGCGGCGGCGGCGGCGGCGGCGGCGGCGGCTTTAGTCCTGAGCCTCCCCTTTCTCCCCCCGCGGCTCCCTGCCTGGCCAAGCCCAGCTAAGCCGCGCTAATCGCAGGCGTCCAGCTCGGCTGGGGCCGCTGGGCCTGGGCCCGATCGCTGGCCGCGGCTTCTCCTCATTTCTCTTCTTCTCCTTTCCTGGGCACGGCTATGGAGCCGCGGCGGCCGCGGCCACGTTACCACGCTCAGTCCTCGCCGCCTGGTCGCGGTGGGCGGGAGAACAAGGGGCTCCGTCGGAAGGGCCCGCCGGGGAGTGGACTCCTTGGCGGCCCCGAGGAGGTGGCGGACGGCAGGAAACCCAAATTCGTAAGTACGAGTCTATCCCACCCGCTTCCCCCTGTGACAGGTGCGGGGCTGCCTGAGGTGAGGGCCTATGGGCAGCCAGGCCCAGCGCGACGCCTGCCTGCTACGCCTGTGCCAGGGGGCCTGTCCTCCCCTCGGGCCTGGTCACCGGCCTGGAGCCCTCTGAGAGGCCGGGGCGCCGGATAAGAATACACGCTCCACAAAACGGAGCTGTTGACTTCGACTGGGCTTCAGGGCGTGAGCCCGCCCGCTCCAGCTTGCTTCTTCTTGCCTGCCAGGGCACGGCTTTATTTAGCAGCAAGTTTTCGGGCCTCTCCTCGTCATCATAAAGCTTTGTTGTCTTTCTAGCTGTTTGACAGCTATAGGTGTAAGGGGAACAGAGCAGACTTCTAGCTCTTAAACGATGTTACCTTTAATAAAACTGAATTGTGGTTTTTTTGTTTTGTTAATTTTGTTTTTAATTTTGGTGAAAAACTGAGTCTTTGAATTTAAGGGATATAGTAAAGTTCTCCCTAGCCTTGCTTTTACAAGCCTTTTGGGTAGTGCACCAGTAAGCTAGGGAACTGGAGGCAACTAATAATTGTCCACAAGACAGCATGTCAGTAAGATGTGCTCTAACTAAAAAGCACTTGCGACCAGTCGGGTTTTGTTTGAGCATCATGAAATTATCACGTTTAAAGCTGGGACAAATACATACGCTCATATCCACCACATGTAGAACAGATACATCTCTTGTTCATATTTAGGAGATACACATTAGTCTTTGTTCAGCCAGCTCTAGGGCCACGTGCTCTAAACTGTATTATGTGCTGATGAAATAGATATTGTAATGCAAAACATAGAGTGGATTCTTGATTCTAAGGTGTCTTTGTGTGATACTTGATACTTCAGTGTTTGACGCTTGAACACAGGTTCAAAAAAGTTAGCCAATGAGTGATATCAAACCGTAGGCTGGCCAAACCTGTTCTGGGAGGTCACAACTTGCTCCTAGCATTCCTTTTTCCTGGAATCCTTTTCATACTGTGGCTGTGTATATTGCTGTTTCAACCAAGTCATTGTGCCTGGTTTTGCATGTTAGAATGGGTGTATATGAAACTGTGACAGACAGCTGTTTGGTTGTCCTCATAAATGGCTATGTATCCCCTGGGGGCACATGCATTTTTGTCATGTTATGACCTGACTGGCCGTGCCTGAGTATAGGATCCCCGAGTAAAAACCGCATGATCTGCTGAGTCTGAAAGTTTGAATAGCGTTACTAGTATATGACTTGATGGTTGGATTATTCTGTGGTGTGCGGGAGAGATGGATTTGTGTGTGTTTGAGACTGACAAGAGCACTGAGTCAGGAGGTTTTACTTATTATTGAAATTTCAATTGCTAAATTCCTATGCAAATAAGAGATTGCGAACATTTTCACTTCTCCCCCCTCAACTACGTGCCAAAACAGTATTGCCAATGTGTTCAGCTTTTTTTCCTAACCATGTGTTAAAATGGAAATACAGTAATTTACAGGAAGTATAACCCTGCAGAGGTTTTTTTCCTTGAAGTCTTACTGGCTTTTCAGTGAAAGAAGGCCGTCTCTTTCATGTAAATGATCTTGTTTGATATCTGTCTAGCCTTCCCAGGATAGGCAAGAGTAGTTTTGAGCATGTGGAGATGTGGGCATCAGCTGCCTTGCTTTTTGAGGTCACAGTGTTGTTTTTTGACCCTGGTAGGGTCAACGGGAGCTCAGTTGAGTATCTGACTTAGCTTTGTAGTATGTATGATCATCATGTGTGTGTTTTTAGTTTTGTTCTCTTCTGCCCAGTTTCTGAAACTCTTGAAGCAGGGATGACTGAGAATACCCTTAATTGTCAAACTGCAGCTTGACTGTAGATGGTAGTCCTATTTTTTCATCTTTAAGTCATCACTTAAAGGTTTTGCCCTGGGGTGTTGATAGGGACTGAAGAATGATAGTTCTGCAAACCTGAATTGTGTTCTAGATATGCCATTAGCTCACTGGATGACCTTAAGAAGTATAATTGGTGAATATTTCTTGAATGGAATTTAGGATTTTGTTTCTGCCTTCATGTAAATTGCTGTGAGTGGTATAGTTTACGAATGTCATCTGTGGAATTCAGAGGTTACTAAAGAGCAGCAGGCTGCTCTGTGCCTCAAAACTTTAGGAGCTGCTGTAGCTACTATAACCTTTGAACTGTCGTCTAATCCCTGGCTTGCTCTGGATAATTTCTGGTGAAGAAACACACAGTGGTAGAGGTAGAATTACTTTAATAATTGTTGTCATCAACCAGCTTCTTTGGTTCTTGAAGGGTACTATGAATACACTTTTATTTCTATTGCTTTATAAGTTTATGCCCTAAGCTGTTGCAATACAGAATATTTATCCCTTTGCTATTAAATCGGAAGTTGATAAACTCTCCTTCCTGTCTACCTCCTGTTGTCTTACAGGACTGGTTGGTTTGTTTTTTTTTGAGGAGGAGTTGGTTATATTTATCCCCCAGAATGGGGGGGGATGGATTGAATATATCCTCGGTGCAAATGACACCAAATTGGGTGGGAGTGTTGATCTGCTGGAGGATAGGAAGGCTCTGCAGAGGGATCTGGACAGGCTGGATGGATGGGTTGAGGCCAGTTGTAAAAGGTTCTACAAGGCAAAGTGCCGAGTCCTGCTTTTGGGCCCAATGCAAAACCCCATGCAAAGCTACAGGTTTGGGGAAGAGTGGCTGTAAAGCTGCCTGGTGGAAAATGACTTTGGGGGGGGGGGGGTTATTGGTTGACTTAGGACTTGTCAGTATTAGTAGCCAGTTGACAGCCATCTGAACATAAGCCAGCTTGTGTCCAGGCAGCCAAGAAGGCCAATGGAATCCTGGCCTGTATCAGAAATACCATAGCCAGCAGGACCAGGGAAGTGATAATCTCCCTGTACTTAGCACTGGTGAGACCCCACCTCAAATCCTGTGTTCAGTTTTGGCCTCCCCACTACAAGAAAGACATTGAGGTGCTGCAGTGTGTCCAGAGAAGGACAGTGAAGCTGATGAAGGATCTAGAGCGCAAGTCTTATGAGAAACAGCTGAGGGAGCTGAGGTTGTTTAGCCTGGAGACAAGAAAGCTGAGAGGAGACCTTATTGCTCTCTACAACTACCTGAAAGGAGGTTGTGGTGGGGTGGGTGGAATAGGCTTCCCAGGGAAGTGGGGCAGTGACCATCCCTGGAGGTATTTAAAAGATATGTAGATGTGTCATCTGGGGACACGGTTTAGTGGTGGATTTGGCAGTTGGTTAGCAGTTGGACTCAATGATCTTAAAGATATTTTCCAATGTAAATTATTCTGTTCTGTGTGGTTCAAATCTTATTCTTCCTGTAAAACATCTTCAATACAGTTTTATTAGTTAAATTAGTTTTGTGTTAGAAGACATAAAACTTACCTCAGCCCTTGGATTCTATGTAATCTAGTCTTACATACAGGCTGTAGCCTTTTCTATGTTTGGGTTACTTAGAATGCCATACCTGTTCATGTGACTTGAATTATGTTTCTGATCGTTTGTCAGATGTCGATGAAATTGACTGTCAGATTAAGTGAACTCAAGTTCTCCGGACTGTATTAGTCTAATTTTCCTCAGTGCAAAAGGCTTGAAAGTAAGTTCCAGGTTGGACCCTTCCAATCAATGCAACATACTGAGCTGTCACAGCAGATATGCTAATCTGAAAAATAATTTGATTCTCTGACAAACCTTGAGGTGAAATTGGATTGCTAGTTGACAAAGTTGGCATCATTAATATGTACCTCCTTTTTATATTTTTTTTTTCCTTGCAAAGAAAAGCTTGTTTAGCAGGAGGTAAATATCTCTATTTAAAAAGCACTTCATCTGGAGGGTGGACATAAGAGTCTTTGGGATAAACAGTTGTAGTGGTTGAGTCTGAAGGTGGCTTTGAAGTACTGCTTTTCTGAATAAACAAACTTCTCAGAAGAAATGAATAGTTGTAAGCATCAGCTGTCTTACAGACTAATTTTTCTGTTTTGTTTTGTTTAAGGAGTGATAGTTAATTTTGAAGCACATACCAGCTTGGCTTTGTTCAGCAGTTCCAAAGTTTTGAACAGCAGGACTCTTGAAAGGGTAAAGATATTCTGTGGTACACTGGTACTTTGGCGTACTGAAAGCTCTTACATTAAACATTGAGATTTAGGGCTTGGTGAAAAAAGGAAATGAATTGAAGGATGTCAGAGACTATACCTGTTTTCTATGTTTACATAGACCGAGCAGGAAACTTCTGAAATCAGCTGAGAGGTGGGGTAAAAAGCTTCCCCTTCCCCTTCCATTGCTCTTCAGTGGAGTTATATCTTGTAGATGCTAGTTCTCAAAAGACTTCTATTCATCTTCAATTTCTACCTCAAATTAGAGGTGTTTCTATTAATTTCAGTATACCATTGACTTGTCTTCAGTGACTTTCTGGTTATGTTTTTGATTAGGTTCTCCATGAAATTTATGAGTCAAGATGGCTATCTTGTTTGCACCAATCTGTTAAAAATAGACAAATTAATGCTTGCATTTAACAGTGTCTGTAAATCAAAGAAAATGTAGTTAAGGGCAAAACCACTTTCATTTCTCTGGCATAGAGTAGAAAGGTAAGACTGATCTGTGTCAATATCTTTAATTACAAAGTGACTGAGTTATTGCTGCAGTTACACTGCAGTGTTAAGACCTTGAATCTAAATTAGTCTCTTAAAGAAATGATTGCTGAACAGATGTTACCTAAAAGACTTTATTGCAGCTTTGTAGAATTGTAAATTCCTCATGCTGTTATTTTTGTTGGCATGAATTAACACTGTGGGTTATGATATTAAATTTTAGTGTCGTGTTATAGCACTTTGTTGTATAATCTTACCTGTAAGCACCAATTTTGAGTTTAACTCATCAATGTCTAAAGAATATCACTGTGTGGAAACTGTCATGTTAAGATAATTTTGCTCCTGATTGCTTCTCAGACTTCTTTCCAAGCAACAGAG